TAAGCGTAGCATAATTAATGTATATCATACAATTAAGTGAATTTAAATGAAACAACATTGTCATACGTAATTAAAGCGGTCGATAATTCATATATTAGAAATACTTTTCAATTTAAATTATTACAATTATATGTATTGTTTAAATATATTTATTATTACTTTTTCATTAGGCATAAATTATCATTTAAATTTCATTCAAAATTCATTGTTTTGTATTGTGATAAAAGTTTCTCGGATAGCTTACAAAAATTGACTAAAATCATTTTATCATTTTTTTCAATCATTCACTTTCAATTAAAAACTACAAAGTACAGCATAACTAATGCAAATAAAAAAAAAAATATAAAAATAAATTGTATACAAATATAAATTGTACATTAATCAAAAATATATTTATCGTTAATTTTTTTAAATATCAATACACTTTATTAGATTGAATTACAATATTTTTATCCAGAAATTCCAAATAATATAAAATATGCTTTAACAATTTTTCAACTACAAATAGTGTGAATACACGATAGATTTTTGTTTAAAATACTTTGCCTAATAACAAAAATATTGCTGTTTTACACGTCATGAATTTACTGAAAATCTATTATTATATTGCAATATAATTGAAAGTGCGTTAATCATTATTCAATAATTTAAAATATAAATAAATTTAATGCTTTCAACACCGATTATTATAATATTGATAATATAACATGAAAATAAGGAAATTCTAATATTATTTTAAAGCGCTAAGATTAAACGTGACCAGTTATATTCATGTTACACTGAATAGTATCACATTTATCTAATCTAATAAAGGAAAGGAAAATGAGGGAAGGAGTCTTGTGAGTTTTACGACCCTGCTGTCGTTGCTGAATCAGCCCCTTCAAATAGACTTTGTTAGTCTTAAAAAATAATAACACAAGAGAAAAATCGAAAAATAAAAACTTAATACTGTTGGCAGAAATTATTTAACTGAAATGAATTATTACATTAATTATTAAATTTAAATTATTCTATAAACATTGATAAATCGTCGTATCGATTACGCTTCGATTAACTTGGAAAATTACAATATTCATTTCAAAGAATTTTCTTTCATTGTAAAATAACTTAGATTTAAGAAGTATATTCTTTTTTCTATATTATATTTCTAACATTTTAAATATATATTGTATAATAAATATTGTTTATTGTCATAGCCATATATACATAGTAAAATCATACGATTTTATCAAAATTTAAAAATTTCTTGATTCATTCGGCAAGATAAAAACTTAAAACATTTTATTCTAAAAAATTTTAATTAATAATATAAATATTAATGATATTCATTCTTTGAAAATGTTCCATAAATTTAATTTATTTACAAATCATTGGAAATTTTGCATATAAATCAAAGAAAAAAATCATAAAATCATCTTTTATCTTTTATAAAAATAACTTATATTTCAATATTAAACTTATAAAAAATTAAGTCATCTAATTATTTTCTTTTCTAGCTAATTCATTGATCCTCATATATAAGAATTTCAACAGAATTTATGTTGTAAAAGTTCAATAAACAATAGGTTTTTAAGCATATTCGAATTATAACTGTATAAAAAAAAAATGAAACTTTCAAGTTCAAATTTTTTATTTTATTTGATGAACTTTTAAACAAACAGTATTAATAATATATAATTGTGATTAATTACGTATAAATAAATATATAAATAAATAAATAAAACTATTGATTGTCTTACCTTATTTTAAGTTATTTCAATAGCAGTAATTATTAGACTTTTTCTTGTTACATAGGCAAAGATTAATTTTAAAAAGATTTATCAGCAAATTTTCAATAGCGTTAGATAATTAATTATTGTGTAATTTTTGTTCCTTTAATTATATTATTATTAATATTTAAAATAATAATAGAGACAAACATTGTTAAACAGAGAGAAATAGATAAAGAGAGTGGCGAGGTGGTGGAGAGAGAAAAAGAGAAACAAGTGTTTATTATAAATATACGATAGGCAAGCCATTTATAAAGTCAAAGGTCACTGCGATATTTTTCAAAAAGCAATGTTAGCATTTCTTTTTTACTCCAATTTTTAGAATGTTATTTAGTTATTTAAAAAAATTTATATTAATAAAAAATATGTTAATTTCATATTGTTATACACATACGCATATATAAATATACACACAATTTATACATTATGAATTTAATGATATTAATATTTTATTGATTAATAATTTTTAAAAATAATTTCTATATACACATACATCCTTATTTGTTTGAAATGTATAGCTTAAGAACATATTTAAATATTATTAATTTTTTTAATACATACCTTGACAATATAGGTTATTTTATAAAGTACAGGCTTAAATGTAAATTCAAAAGTTTATCTCAAATATAATTTGTATAAATTTGCCTTATTGAGTTTACTTACATGAAAGTTTATAAAGCTACGGTCTATCTATTTTTTACATTAATTTCACTTTTCTTATTATAAATATTTATGAATCTATCAATATTATTTTTATTTTTGTATTTGTTATTATATTCTTTAATATATATTACATATTCTTTAATTTTTTGATATTTCTATTTGAATGTATATTTTTATCAATAGATTATAACAAATTAATATATATATGTTAATTAAAATCCGCTCGATTAACACTAACTACGGACTTAACAAAAATATGAACTAACATTTCATTTCATGTATTCACAATCAGTAACGTGAATAATTATATTTGTAATTAAAAATAAAACTTGTACATTATATTATAGATACAATATTAACTTTATTCATCAAAATTTATTATACAATAAAACCTTAAAACATAATATTAAATTGGCATGTTGTATTTAATAATTAACGTTATAATAAATGAATGCTACTCTTGATAATTAATAAATCGTCGAATACTCATTGTTTATAATATATAATGTAATAGTCTATTTGATAATGAAAAGTCCGTGTAGAAAAAAAAAGTATTGAATAATGATTATACAGATTTCAGTATAAAAATATTCAAATTTTATTTTGTTTATATTCTTTAAAGTAAAGATAATGAGAGTTAACTAATGACCAGAATCAATATACTTTCTTCAAGTCACGCTATGTTTATCTTATTACTACGGATAAATTTAATTTGACAATATAATATTTCAATCTTTTAATACGCTGGATAAATAGATCTTAAATTAAAAGAGGATATTATCGATCAAATTTATAAAATCTTATTACTATTATGACAAAAAGGAAAATTTATACTAGAATCTATAATTGCTATATGCATTTGCTTAAATATAACAATCTTTTTATCTATATTTTCTAATATATTAATAATATATTTTGTCGATATGCGTATTTGTCCTTTTGGTATAACCGATTGTATTTCTAATGAATGTTGATCAACTCAATACCTTATTACTATTAAAAATGAAAAAATTTCTTACTATCTCGTATTCTCATATACAATATGCATTAAAAAATCAACATTATAAATATCTCCTTGATGAAGTTATAAGTATTATTCCTTTATGTCAATAGTAAACGAAAAAATTAAGTAAACTTATGAAAGTAAGATATTCCTAATATTGAAGAAAGAGGATGAATTTAATTTTATTTAAAAAAATTTTTCATTTAAATTGTACAGCATTCGTAATTTCTACAAAACGTATTTATTCATAATTAAATTATATATAACACAATAACTCCCAAATATATTTTACCTTCAAATAATTGTCATAAATATAGCTGAAACTGGATTCGAATGTAAAAATGAAAACTCATTATGAACAAAATATGAAATACCTATACATAATAAAATCAGATAAATATTTGTAAGGAAATTTACTTAAATTTTAATTCATCCTTTTGCAATTATAAGGCAAAGGATATTATGTAAAATAAAAAATTTGTTGATAAAAGATCGAATAAACTTAAATTTGAATTTTATAACTGATATCAATAATAGAATAAATATTTTTATTTTAGTAAATTATTCTTATTTCTCGTCACAGTATAATTAACCGTTTCCGTATAACTCAAACAAATATAATAGAATTTTATATTTACTCACATAATAATAGGCAATATAATAAATAAACTCAATTACTTACATTTTATCGTCCGTATAACAATGGGCTTTATTTTTTTTTTTTTTTTTTTTTTTTTTTTTTTTTTTTTCAACACTTCCAATAACAATTATATAAATATACAACAAAAAAAAAATGCATAACAAAGTAAACATTAGCAATAGTTTACATGCGCGCGAGCGTATGCGTGAAAAATTTTTGTTTTATTCATAAATAATATTATAAATTTTTTACATTTAACATAATTTTATAAATTATATTCTAGATACTTGCCAAAATGTTTATAAAAGCAACTTCTCTTATGAAGTAATATAATTAAAAAGTTTTATATTAAAAACTTATGATTTAATTGTAAAAAGAAAAAAATATATATTTCATAAGAAGCGGTTAACTTAAAATAGTGGTTCGTTTTATTTTTCTTTTTCTTTTTCTTTAATGTAAAATATAATAGTAATAACAGTACCTCAAATCTTCAAATGAAACTTAGTAAGTAAAACAATTGTGCTAAACAATAATAGAAATTTACGTACATTTCACGCTCCTTAAGAATAATGTTATATGAAATCTAATAACAAAATAAACAAGGTCAAATATGCAGCACCGTTATATTATAATACATTGTTATTATAGCGAAATTATTAGAATTTAAAGGATTATAATGATGTCATTAATAAGGACTTGCCACAATAAGTTCTAACTAGTCGATTGTGATATATATTCGACTAAGATTAATAATATATGAAAAGTATCGAAGGAATAATGAAAATGATAATGTGGCTGCGTCAAATGTATAAATTGTTTGAAATATTTAATGACTTTATTAAAAATAAAGCATTACAAGTGATACAAACTATGATACCACTGCCAATATTATTTTGAATAAGGCAGGACGGTGCTTCCGGAGAAAACGTCGAACGGTTCGGCGAGACAGACCGCACGAATTCTGTCGTACCAGTAAATTCTCTTGGGAGAGAGATATCGCCTATATTGACCCATGCCCTCTATCCCCATTCCGTCGCCCTACTTATCTGGCCTCTCGGCTCTTGTATTCTCCCTTACTTCCTATCATTTGACTCCGAGACACGCAACAAGAATGACCAGCTCGTCGATCCTATTCTTCGCTACTATTCTATTGACGGTTAATGCCGATGTCGTCCAATGGAAACCCTGCCCTACTGAACGTAAGTAATCAACAATTGACATTTTATCACTGTCCTCCCACTCGCCATTATTATTATTATTAACATTTATTGTTGTCGCTGTTATTGTTATTACTATTAATATAATAAAAAAAATTTATGGTATAGTTGTTATGAATATGACATTATTGTCGTTATCCAATTTATCGATTTTCCGACATTACTATAATAGCTTTATATATAAAAAAAAAAAAAAAAAAAAAAAAAAAATTAAAATTTA